AAATGGGAGTTTATTAAGGAATATTAACTGACACAATTACAAAGTCCCACAATAGGCTCTCTGCAAGCTGAGGAGCAAGAAGCCAGTCTGAATCCCAAAACTAAAGAACTTGAAGTCAGATGTTCAAGGGCAGGAAGCATCCAGCACAGGAGAAAGATGTAGGCTGGGAAGCTAAGCCAGTCTAGGCTTTTCACCTTCTTCTGCCTGCCTTTTAATCTGCCTGCACTGGCAGCTGATTTGATTGTGCTGCTCAGATTAAGGGTGTGTCTGCCTCTCCCAGCCCACTGACTCAAATGTTAATCTCCTTTGGCAACACCTTCACAGACACACTCAGGAGCAATACTTTGCATCCTTCAATCCAATCAAGTTGACACTAAGTATTAGCCATCACAGTACCTAAATTATATGTATAAAATACAAAAAAGCAGCAAATTATGTAGACTAAGTACAATATGAAAATATTCACCATGACTATACATCATGAACTAGAATTTTTTAATGTATAGAATCACCATAGACATAGCAACTGAGAATAGAGACTGACACATATATCAAGCTCATGGCTACATAGAGTGATATGATGTTCTGAAAGAGAAACAAAAAATTATTGGTGCATGGTCTTCCTTTTATTTATATGCATTATTGTAAAAAGTGTACATAATAGCCAGGAAAAAATATTTTTTTCTATGTAAAATGAAGTGAGTTTCAAGGTTCAAATAACCATAAATATGGCTTTTGCCCATGTGGAAGTCTGGCTTATCTGACAGTCATGCTGAATGTGTCACATTTCATCTTATGCTGCAAGATCCCAGAAAATGCAAGATACCTGATATTCCTTATCCATACCCACAAAAATTACGGAATACTGTTACAAACAAGCTGATGTATTTTCATAAGGGCCCCTAGGGGGCAGTATTGCCCCCATTGAGAACCAGGGATCTATGGATGGGATACAACTCAGAAATACTTCCCCAACTCCTGCCCTCCTCTTGCCTTTTATTGGACCTTAGATATTCTGATGGTAGGGCAGGACGGAGGAAGAAGTGAAAGAGCAAACATCTCCTTATCTAGGGTATGCTTTCCCCCAGGCTGGCTGTAACAGCAATCTTAGCTTATTTGTCTATAGGTCTTCAGTCTTCCCCTTAAATTTTGACTAAAGGTGGGGTGGGGATGGTTGGCAATAGGTTCAATAATCTGATCTAGTCTCTTAGGACTTTTTTTGTGGAGAGGTGGACCAACCTGAAAGCTTGGAATATGAGTGGCAGCTTTAGTGCTATTTGCCATCAACTCTGGACTTTCTATGTAATTCTGGGGTATGAAGAAACAAATCCACTCCTTTACACTAGTTTGAGAGATACGTGCTGCAATGAAAAATACGTCAGTTCAGGCGTGCTGGAATGAAAAACACCTATGTTGTAACCTCAGCTCCACTGCCTCTCACTGTTTAATTTAGGGCATTCAAACTCCCTGGAATGCTTTTGCCTCATCTGCAAAATGGAATAGGGAGTAAAGTAGATGATATTAAATTTGAATTTGAACCATTGACTTCAATATGACACTAAACATTTGGAATCTCCATGCAGACAATATTCACTGTTCTTCTTTGTGTCCTTGAAATAAGTGAAAATTTTCATCCTTTATATATATATATATATATATATATGACCTGTGCCATAAAATTTGGTAAGAATTCTAGAATCTGCCAATAATATATTTACTCTAAATAAAGTGTTTTAAATGTTTAATATTATTGAGCATGGTGTATCACAGCATTTTAGAGTTAAGAAATCATTTATCGATAAATGAAGTTAGAAAAATTGGATGTTTTTCTATGTTTAGGTAAATGCATATGACATAGGTTAGGTGACTTTGTCAATACTTCCTGATCTCTTCTATATATCAAACACTATACAGAACAATAGAAAGTAATGAGGACATAAAAGTTATGCAAGGTATGACCTGTATTGTAAAGCCTCTAAAACTCCACTGTGTCTTCGGTTGGGTTTGCTAGAAGCAAAGCCTAAGACAGGAATTCTTGTGTAAGACATTTTTCCAGGGCAAGCTCTCAGGAGAAACTGCTAAAGGAGTAAGGCTGGGGCAAGAGGAGAATTTAGTAAAAAATGGTTTCGGAAGTCTAGCATCATTCTAAACCCATGGAAAGCTCTGAAAGTTTCTCAGTTACAACAAAGTTTTTCAGCCCAGAAGCAAGGGGGCTAGGCTGATAGGACCCCACATTAGCCAGCCTTTTGCTCCAAGTCAACCTCAGGGGTCAGATGGGAGCATAATCTCCCAGGCATCATCAGGAAAAGTGTTGCGCATCAGACAAGAGCCAACCTGTGCAAGAGGTTTGCCCTTGACAGTCAACACCTGCAGCTGCTGTGGACTCGGTACCTTACCCTGGAAAAAAAAGAGAGCTGGGCAGTAGCATCTGGAATGCATGATATTAAAAGAACCAAATGATGTACACATGATCTGCTATAAGTGTATCGGTAATATCACCTATGTCCTTTAGCATACCTATAAGTTCCCCTATATTATATGGCAAGGGTCATATAAGAAAGTACAGTTTGAAATTCTGAAAGTACAACAGAGTTAATAACACCAGCTAACACGTGCAAGTGCTTGCTCTGTTCTACACGCCATTACAAAGTCCTTACCTACGTTATCCACATTTAATCCTCTCAACAAATCTACAAGGTAGGTAATATTATTGCCCCTATTTCCCTGTAAACTAAGGCACAGGCAGGTCAAGTAATTTGGTCAGGGTCACACAGCTAGCAAGTACCAGTAAATGATTATTTTGTTGATAAGTATGTGAGAGGGCTTCCTGGAACAGAGAAAATGAAATTCTAAACCCAACCCAAGATCTACTAAATTAGAATCTCTAAGGTTGGACTCATAACTGTAACAAGTTTCCTAAAGTGATTCCTGCACACACTGAAGTGTGAAGAGCCATTGCCTAGAGGAATTAAAAGTTTTCCAAAATGAAGAAAAGTTGTGCAAAGAACATTGTCAAAATGTAAAAATGATCATCAAAAATACTTAATGAAGTTTTATATTTAGTCTAAAAGAGTGGGAAGGAAGATGAGAATAAAATTTGGGCTCTCAAATACAAAACAGGATTATACAGGAAGAAATAACCTTTGTATAGTCATATTGTTTCTTAAAGAACGAAATAGCAAAAATAAAAACATAGGAATCACTGGGCTCAGGTACCCATAGTGTGTTATTTTCTACCTCTATGTTGGTCTAGGTAGACATTTTTCCCTTAAAATTATCTTAAACTCGAGACCATCCTGGCCAACATGGTGAAACTCCGTCTCTACTAAAAATACAAGTTAACTGGGCGTGGCGGCATGAAACTGTAGTCCCAGCTACTCGGTAGGCTGAGGCAGAAGAATCACTAGAACGCAGGAGGCGGAGGTTGCAGTGAGCCGAGATTGGGCCACTTCACTCCAGCCTGGTGACACAGTGAAACTCCATCTAAAAAAAAAAAAAAATATTAAACTACTACTTATCCAGAGAAGAATGGGATATTTTAAGACTGGGAAGGGAAACAATCTTTCTTCAAAGGTTTTGGAAATGAAAACATCATTTAAATACAAGGAAATAGGTTAATTGCTGATATATTATTAGCAGAGTATTTTCATGTAGATGTACAATGTTATGTTCTTCTCTGAAATATGAATACACTTACTTTTATAATAATACTTCATTACAAAAATTGGACTAGGGAGAAGGAGGAGACACTATAGGCACAATGCCACTTGGCCACCTGGGATAAAGGAAAGTTTTATCTTCTTAAGTTGAAGTATCTAAAAGCTGTTTTATTATTTATGTACTCAGGATTATTGTCTTGTAGGCAAGGTGGTCGTCTTCATGTTTACTATTCACTTGTGGTAAGTTCACCTTGGACTTTTTATTTTGGGTAAACATCACTTACATCATCATTAATAAGGCTTTGGGGTTCCTTTTCCCCATTATTCAATTTCATAGCATTATCACCAGCTGTTGAGTCTTCTTCCCCATTACTCACTGGTCTAATTGGGGAGAAGAGGAATTGTGAAGAGGGCGGAAGAAAAAGTCTGTTCTAGTAGGATGTTTATTGGTAGATCAGACCTGCCATGTCCCCTTAACCTGCTAAATTTGGTCGTCATTGTTACCAGATTCATTGTGACAGTTACAGGCAAATTCCAGGTGTTGTTGGAAAAACACTTATAAGTAATACACTAGTTTATTTTTGATTAAGAAGACTGTTTATGGCGGGGCACGGTGGCTCAAGCCTGTAATCCCAGCACTTTGAGAGCCTGAGACGGGCGGCTCACGAGGTCAGGAGATTGAGACCATCCTGGCTAACACGGTGAAACCCCGTCTCTACTAAAAAATACAAAAAACTAGCCGGGCGAGGTGGCGGGCGCCTGTAGTCCCAGCTACTTGGGAGGCTGAGGCAGGAGAATGACATAAACCCGGGAGGCGGATCTTGCAGTGAGCTGAGATCCGGCCACTGCACTCCAGCCTGGGTGACAGAGTGAGACTCCATCTCAAACAAAACAAAACAAAACAAAACAAAAAAAAAAACCAAACACTGTTTACTAGGTACACATTTAAACAATCCATTATTTATAATGAACTTATAGTGATACTTTTTATATGGTTCCCTTTTAATACCAGGTTAAATACTCTAGAGATTTAGGGAATTAATGGCCCGTCCTCCAAATGACCTCAAACTAAGTTAAATGACATAAAACATGTGGTGGAGGGTTTTGGAATTGATAGTAAGGATTGGAAACCCCAAATTTTACACTGTACGAAAGACCAGGGGCAAGAAGCAGCTTTAAGTATTTTAGATTATATACTGACTAAACTCACCCCTTCCAACAAACCTGTTGACAGGTGTTTAGGGTCAAATGCTTGACTTAATCATATTAGTGGAGATTAGGAAGAAGCTTTAAAATCCCAAGACTAGTGTGCATTGCTGGAATTGTTAAGACAGAGAGCTCATGTGAAATTGGTTATCGTGGGATATTTAAAATAAAACAAAGAAAAGTTTACTTTGTAAGTTAATTGCTGAGGGAATTGTTGGCTAAGACTGATTTGAAATAACTGCAGCAATTCATGTGTAGGTGCTAACCTTCTACACCTTCAGCAGGCAAAAAGATGCCAGTAATCAATATTGAGGACCTGACAGAAAAGGACAAATTGAAGATGGAAGTTGACCAGCTCAAGAAAGAAGTGACACTGGAAAGAATGCTAGTAAGTTGCTGCTTTCTTTAGAATTTTATTTTAAGCTAGAGATACTGTGGTGGTACCAGGTTAGAAAACATTGGCTGGTAAGGCTAAATGTAGTTACAAATAAATTGTTCATCTAAAAATGTATCAAAGATTAAGAAAATTGATAATCAATCACAACTATCTCTTGATTTAGATTCTAAATCGAAGAGGTTGGCAAACCATTTTCCTTTGGCCAAGCCCAATCCTTAGTCTCTTTTTGTATGACCACTAAGATAAGAATGCTTTTACATTTTTAAAGAGAAAAAGAAAGAAAGAAAAAAGAGAAAGAAAGAAAAAAGAGAAAGAAAGAAAGAAAGAGAAAGAAAGTAGGAGAATATGAGACAAAAACCATATTTTAGATAAACAATAAAGTAAATATGTGCATACAATAATATAGACATTTTGCTTTTACTTTTCTAAACTTCTCTTTATAATGCAATATTTTGATATTGATATTTTGATACAATATTTTGATATTGCTGCAATACTTTAAGCTATGATGTCATCCCCTCTTGCACTGTCATGGTCAGTAATAAATGAGTACATTCTACTCTTCTTTGGCAAATAAAGATGAGTTCAAACATAAGAACTCACTGGTTCCTCCTAAAAACATCTGACAAATCTTAGAAAGGGTTACCAACAGTTCACTGCCATTAGAAGGAGAAGAAATGGCAAAGGACTAAACCACCAAACAAACAGTGATGAAAGCTTGGAGGATGTAGATATGTATTTTAGGTCCCTTCATTTTAGGAAAATTATTAATAGTAGAACAAAACCTCCACAAGTGGTAACAATAACCTTATATTTTCAAAACATCTCATTTTATCAGGACAAAGTAAAAAAGGAGTTTGTGTTATCTTCATACTTGGTTCAAAATGCCTACTCCCAGTCAAAACTGGGATTTTTGGCTTCTTCTATGTTTATAATAATCTCAAACTCCCCTGTTGCCCTTTCCATATAGGCAAAACGTTTTGCTGTAAAGATAAAATTAAATCAGTACTAAGGCTTAGAACATACACCAAACAAGTTAAAGTCCTTATTTTTACAATTCAGGGTAAATAAAATGAACTTTTGGGATAAAGGAAAGTTTTATCTTCTTAAGTTGAAGTATCCAAAAACTGTTTTATTATTTAGGTACTCAGGATTATTGTTTTGTAGGCAAGGTGGTTGTCTTCATGTTTATTATTCACTTGTGGTAAGTTCACCTTGGACTTTTTATTTCGTGTAAACATCACTTACATCATCATTAATAAGGCTTTGGGGTTCCTTTTCCCCATTATTCAATGTCTCTCTGCTCTTGGAAGTCAAACCAATTTAATATCAGACTGTAAAAACTCCATATACGTACACACACAAACACACATGCATATAGATACACATACATATACATGTACTCTCTTAGTCTCCTCAGGGTGACGTACCAGAATACCATAGACTGGTGAGTTACAACCAATAGAAATGTATTTCTCACAGTTCTGGAAGCTGGGGTATCCAAGATTAAGGAACCAGCAGATTCAGTGTCTGGTGAGGGCCTGCTCCCTCCTTCATGAATGTCTGTCTTTTCATTTTGTCCTTACCTGGTGATAGGGGTGAGGAAGCTCTCTCGGGTCTCTTTTATAAGGACAGTAATCCTATTTATGAGAGTTCTGTCGTCATGACCTAATCACCTACCAAAAACCCCACCTTGGGGGTTAGGAGTTCAACAAATGAGTTTTTAGGGGACACAATTGTTCAGCCTGATACATATATATGATATATATACACACACACACACATATTATATATATAATATATAGAAATATATATGTAAT